ATTATTATTATTATTATTATTATTATTATTATTATTATTATTATTATCATAAGTCTACTGTGAGTTTTGTGACCTGCTGACACTATTTTAACCACCCAAGCTAAAGGTTTCATGCACCTCTCTGAAATGGCCAGTGCTATTTACTTTACTTCTCAGTATCATGATAAAATTGATGATGGTAGGGATGTGTACGTGGAATCTGGAAACTTTTTGTTATTTTGCATCATTGTTGAAGTTCCTCTTTTTAACAGTGCTACTTTCTACCAGTGCGCCGTTTCTTCTCCCACAACCCAGACAGTCTTTGAATCGGAGTGGGTTGATGTTGTTGTGTCCCATTTATTCTTTTTTCTGCTCGGACACATGAGAAGGATTGTAAAATGGGAATGATGAGGGGTCAGCCAAGTGCAGCAGGGGTTCATTGCGCACTGGCAGTATCCCCCCCCCCCCAAGCTCACACACACTCACCTGGATTGTAAGACTTACCAGTGAAGCAGTAAAATCACACCCCTCTCACTGGGATATTCTGCTTTACAAATTACTCTGTGCAGTTGTTCTTATATGATTATTGCAGCAGCATCTATTCCATACCAGACATGTCCCTCCTGAGCCAGGGATATAGTTTCATTAAATCCTGCATGAGATTTTCAATTTCAAGGAGCTTCTGTTTGCCTACCTGTCTTAACCAGACAAAATGGACTTGAAATCCTCAGGGTTCACGTTTTGGGAGTCTCATGGAGGAAATTCCTGCTTGTTGGCTCTTCTTGGCTTTATATAACCTAGAATGGCCACCCATCATGGCCAGATGTTCCTTTATTTTGCCTTTTTAAGAGGAGTCTGTGGCATTTTGCCTCCAAATCTCCAAAGGCTAATATACAGCTAATAAAAAAGGCACTCTTCCTAACTGTTGTCTTAACCTTGCAGTTGGCGAAGGGAAAGGTTTTTTAAAAAGACTTTAGGAGAATACTGCAGGACACATAGCACAGCCAGAACACGGATGACTGCCTATTGTTGTAGCAAGTGGCCCCAAGTTTAGTCAGATGTCTATTGAGAATGAATTTTGTGTTTCATTTTGATTTATATAAATAAAAATCAGCTTAGCATCAAAAGAAGCTACTTCCTAACTGCAGCAGGAGGCAAAGATGACATTGATGGAAGAGATTGCATTTTGTTAGACTCAAATTTAGACCCTCAAAAGATGCTCTGGATTCTGATTAATTGATTTATCACATTCAGTCTATGAAGGAGCATGGTTCAATACTGTCCTGTGGCCCTTTAACGTAGAACTCGACTCTGGCTGCTGTTACCATATTTGCTACTCTTTCACAGCTTTTACAATATTCGCACGAGAGTGAAAATGACTCATAGACTCCTTTGTCAACCCTCTGTCAGTGTCTTTTGTTGTTCCACAAGCGCCAAGGATGAAGTGGCAAGGTCAGACAAGGGGAATTGATGTTTTCCAGTATTGTAACTTTAGGCCAAACATCATAAAAAAATGTTCCCTCCTGACTCTGAAGACAGTCATGCTGTTTCATGGCGAGATGAGAAGTACGGGAGGGGTGAAATATATTTTCTGCACAAGAGAAGGGAATTCCGCACATTATTTCCCGCACTTGAAGGGTTGTGACTTGGGGTTTCCTTTTGAATTCAGCGACAGTACAGTCATCTCATACAGTAATAGTGTTTTTTATTATGCAACACCAGTCATGAGCTGCTGGCAGTAACGCAGAGGGCGGTGACATGTTCTCAACAACTGTGCTGGCATTTTTTCTGTTCTTGTTGTCTTTGATATTCTTTACTATTGTTCATAAATTTAATGAATGATATAATTTTTTTTTCTATAGTTGGATTTGTTTGTTAAACTTGTATGGATTAGCCAAGAAAGTACTTTGGGGTACACCCTGGACAGGGCCCCGGCCCACCAAAGGTTCACGCACAGACCAATCAAATCCCAACAAAAAAGCCCCCAGTTGGGATTCAGTACAAAAATACTTACTTATGAACAAAAACCTCATTTTCCAATGTTTTTTTGTTGTAGATTATAAAGGTTCTGTTCACAACATGTCTGCACCATACTGCACCACGATCTGTCTTTTTCTGGTAACGTGTTGGTAAAGAAGAGCTTGAATGATAAACACGAGCCCCCATAATCATCTCACCATAGTGTTAATAGTGGAATTCAAAGCTGTCTGAAATGTTTATCCTTGTTTCCTGAGTGGTGGTGAAGCCACCACAGATGTTTTTCGAAACACTATGTCCTGTGCCACTTCCTTTTAATCAGTGCCAAGAGAGGACATACTCTGTGCTCCCGGTCTAATCTTAGCCGACTTGTACCCTGTGTGACTGATTTGAGCCCCCATTGTGAGTTTGTTAAAAAAAAAAAAATTAAAAACCCCTCATCTTCTCCCTCCCTCACACTGTTTGTTCCATGCCTGTCCTCTTTTTAATGGCTCTTAATGAGAACCAGCTTATGCGGCTCTTTGAACACAATAAGCGCAATTTCTGGTATTTTTCAGCCAATCTCCTGGAGGAATGCAGCACACAGCTGTTACAGAGGGTCAGAGCTGTTAGGATGCTTCCTGGGGCCAGTGCTGGACAGGCACTGAGGCAGGTGGGAGTTTTGAGGGTCTAAAGGGAGACGATGACAAGATAGGTTTTTCCTCATGTCATCGGGGGGGGGCTGATACATCCACCTTTAGTGCATTACTGAGGAAGAGAGGGCAGAGACTGGCTAACTTTAACTGGAGCCTGTAGTGTTGAAAATGCAACATATTTTCCATTTTACTTAGACTGTAAAATCTGTTTAATTCAGGACTGTCATTTGTACCAATTAAGTTACATAAACCTCCTCCTAACTTGATGATTTGAAGGCAGAGGAACAGTAATTGAGGCTGTTTTGGACCAACAAAGCAACAATATATAGTTGTCAAGTTCAGTACTGATTAGGTTGATTGATATTCCTGTGTCATACAGCCAAAAACATGTGTGATAACAATATGAAAACATGTAAATTCCCGCCCTCCTCCCCTACTAAAACATTGTACAACAAAAGCATTATGCGGTAATATTTTGTGAGGAAGTGGATATTGAGTACTACTGCCAACGCTGGCAGCATCGGCTCATTCTTAGCACAACAGCTGTTTCAAATAATAGACCAATCTGATGCCATTGTGTGTGTGACGGAGCACTGTGTGTGTGTGTGTTTGTGCGCGTGGGCTTGTGTTTATTACGTGTTAGTTTGTTTCTTAATGACACTTTTATGTAACTCAATTGTTTTTCTTCAAAATATATTACAAATAAATGTTACCCCAAAGACTGCCATATTGGGGATATAAAGTTAATGCGATTGTTTTTTTTTGTTTTTTTTGACAGCGTTAACAAGTTGTTCAGGGATCTTTGTGAAAAGAAGGAAATCACTTACAGGACCGTGACACAACATAGGACACAGTGCGTCCTATGTTGATTGCTGTTAGCGAGACCTCTCAACAGATTTGGTTGGCTGAGCACCAAAGAGAGGCCACCTTTGAATCAAACATCATAGCCTCAGTGACAAAGGTTTTCAGAGTGCAAGGTCACTATTGAATAATGAAAAAATTCATACAAAAAACACAAGTTCAGAAATAGAGGAAAGATGTGTCCACCAAAGGACGAAGTCTTGAGGAAGCACACGAAAAGACTCCCTCCTTACTTCCTCATTTCACCTTTACTTGTCAATCTTCCTGATCATCCCAGACCAGTATCCATTCGACAGCCGGCTCTCCAGAACCGGAAACACCCCCAATGGGCACGCAGTTAGCAGCTGCTTGCATAAGACGCTATGGCAGAACAGCACAGCCAGTGATTCATGGGAATTTCCAGTGGTGGTTTCCATTATATTTAGTGCAACAATGACTGATACACACCATTTAAGAAAGGCTGTAAATGTGCTGTTTTTCAAAATAATCTCATTAATTGCTCTTTGTGTGCATGTGTGTGTGTCTGTGTGTGTGTGTGTGTGTGTGTGTGTGTGTGTG